TACACACAAAATCTGAAAGAATCTACAGATAAGCTATTAAAATTAAAAAGGATTTAGCAAAGTTTCTGGATACAAGATCATATGCAAAAAATATCAATTGTATTTCTACATACCAGCAACAAACAACTAGAAAAATTAAATTTTAGAAGTGATTCTATTCACAGTAGTATCAAATACCATGGAATTCTTTGGAATAAATATAAGAAAAAATGTGTAATATCTCTACCAGAAAACTATAAATTATTGAGAAAAAGTATAGAATACCTATGTAAATGAAGGTATATTCGTGTTCATGTATTGGCAAATGCAATGTTGTAAATTGTCATTCCCAAATGATTTATGGATTTAATTCAATTCCTGTATGCCTCTGTGTGTGTGCATGTGTGTGTGTGCGTGTGTGTGTGTGTGTGTGTGTGTGTGAAAATCAACCGGCTGATTCTAAAATTTATAAGAAACGCAAAGGGCCGTAATGGCCAATGATCTCTTAGAAAGAACAAAATGGATAGCACTAGGTATCAAGACTTATTATAAAGCGATAGTAAGTAATACAGTGCATTATAGTGCAAGAAGAGACAAATATGCTAGTGGAATAGCATAGAGAGCTCAGAAACAAATGCACACATAAGGATTTTGATTTATTTATGGGACTACAGATAAATGGGGAAACTTTTTTGCCCAATAAGTTATTCTGGATCAGGTAGATATGGAAACTACGGAACTTGGCCTAAACCTATAAACTAAATATGAAAGGAAAAACAAGGACTTTCAGAAGAAAAGAAAGGCAAAACAGAGACTTTGTGGGGAAGGAGAAGAGTTTTCAGAGAGGACACAAAAAGCATTAACTATAAAGGAGAAGACTGACAAACTACACTACACTAAAAATTATTGAATTAATCTAATTATGAGAAAACATTGTAGAAGTCCAAACCAAGGTTCATTCTACAAAATACCTGACCAGCACTATTTAAAAATGTGAAGGTCATGAAAAACATGGACTGAGATAATGCCACAGATTGAAGGAGACTAAGGATAGGTGATGCTAAATGCATCCTGATATCCTGGATTGGGTCCTGGAACAGAAAAGCGCATAGAGGAAAACTGGTTAAATTTGAATAAACTGTGTAGTTTACTTAATAGTATCATACCAATAGTAATCTTTGACTTTGGTTAAGTGTTAGGTATGTTTGGTAAATGGTTATGCAGTATGTTAACACTAGGGGGAGCTGGAGAGGGGGT